CCTGATCCGGGTACTAGGGAGTTGTGCCTCTTCACCACCCCTCCCCAGAATGGCTCCCCTGGTAGAAATGAGGTGCCAATGTGAAATAGTCAGCAGCTCCTACTGTATCTGCCAAGATGACAGAAGCACTGGTCATATTTAACTATATCTTACTTGCTGTATCTCTAATTTCTAGACATGTTAAATGTTTTTAAAAATTATTTTTTGGGCTGGGAAGGTGGCTCAGTGGTAGAGCGCTTGCCTTGCATGCCTGAGGCCCTGGGTTCGATTCCTCAGCACCACATAAGCAAAAAGAAAAAAGCCGGAAGTGGCGCTGTGGCTCAAGTGGTAGAGCACTAGCCTTGAGCTGAAGAGCTGAGGGACAGTGCCCAGGCCCAGAGTTCAGGCCCCACGACCGGACCCAAAAATAAATAAATAAATAAATAAAAATTATTTTTTGCTATTTATGCTTGATGAGCTATGGAAGAAGTCTGCAGAGTTTTGTATATACCATTTTGGAAGTCTTTTTTCCTCTCAGTGTGTTCTTAGCCAGTTTTACACTGCTCCAAGTCCCTTTTCCTTCAGATGGCATTTTGACTTTAGACACTGGATGGAAAGTCAACTTGAATTGTTAAGTTTTAGCTGTTGTTTTAGTCTGTGGGAAATGTACATAATCTTCCTGAATCAATGTTGCAAAATTTAAGAACATTAAAATGTTTAAACAAGAGTGGGAATGTGGCTTAGTGGTAGAGCGCTTGTCTAGCATGCGTGAAGCCCCGGGTTCGATTCCTCAGTACCACAAACACAGAAAAAGCCATAAGGGGTGCTGTGGCTCAAGTGGTAGAGTGCTAGCCTTGAGCAAAAGAAGCTCAGGGACAGTGCCCAGGGAGGCCCTGAGTTCAAGCCCCAGGACTGGCAAAAAAAAAAAAAAAATTAAACAAATTGATTCTTAAATACTCCTCAGTCCCTTCAATATTTGTCTCTTTGGGTTACAATGTGGTGTTAATCACTTGTCAGCTTGGGTTGGCCATATTTCCTGTGGACATCTCTCTGTATACTCTCAATATTTCCACCCCAGTGAAACCTTGTATTACTGTGGGTTCCCTGAATATAGAAGGTGGTTTGAGGGCCATTTACCCCCACTACTCCCCAGATTCATTACATGTGACTTGGAGAATTCTGGTGTTCTTTGTGCCTGGTCCTAATGTCAGTCTTTACTGCTAACAAGCACAAGCCAGGTGAAGTGCAGTGTTCCATGACTGCCCTGAAGGGCTGCAGGGATGTCTTGCTGCCTCTTCAGAGCACTCAGTGGAAAGGGAAGTTCAGACCTTAAGCAGTCCTGACCCCACCCTCCTAGACCATGAATGCAGCCACAGACACATTTCATAGTCCATACTCACATCCTCTGCACTGGGTCCTCAGTTTCTATGAGAGAAAATCAGATTGTGTTCTTTGAACATACTGTGTACTAATTAAATGTCTAGACTAGTGAATGGCCACCTGCATCTGGAAGAGGGATCAATTTGGGAGAAAAAAGTTATTGTGGTAGGAGAGAGACTACTAAAGATGTGTAATTCTGACAAGTAGAGCTTTGCAAATCACTGTCTAGGGAAGTAAGGCCAAGACTTGGCTTAAATACTCAATATTTTCAAGACAGTTAGAACAAAGCCAAGAGTACTAAAACCATGATACATGACCCATCTTTGTTTTCATACCAACATCCAGAGCTCACTTTAGTTCATCAACTGTGGTCAGTCTTCCTTTCACTGGAGTTTGAGGGGGAAAAAAAAGACTCAGTTTTTTCCAGGGAGAATTTGGGTAAACAGTGTTACCTTACTGAAGAGGACAGAATCTAGACTTATGTTGAGAGAAATTATTGTTAGAAGTCAGAGTACTGTTTCCAAGTTCCAAAGGCCTGTGTGCGAGGGATGGAAGATACTGTGAGACGATGTCCAAACCTGGTTTTTCTTTGTGAGATGGGCGAAGTCACTCATGTGCATATTGTGAAGGCTTTCACCCAGACACTAAGGTTTTCAGGGGAGTTGGGAAGTTTCCAAGCAGTTCTAAGGTGGGTTTAGAGGGTGACAAGGGAGAAAGTCTTGACTCTGTAGAAGATTGATAAGGAGACACTTCAAGGACCAAACAAGGGAGCCTCAGGCCTTCTTACCATGTGCCCAGATATGGGCTTTTCAGCTTTCAGCCACCATATGTCACACTGACGGAGTGAGGCTTGTTTGTTTGTTCGTTTACTATGGGAGGACCATTCAGGGACATAAGGAAGTGGCACAGATCCTGAGATGGCTTGAGGGAAGTAGGTCAGAGAGCAGAAGGCTCCTGAGAACATTGTCCCCAGCTTTTTTGCTGGTGGTTGCCATTTTAAATTCTTACATTTAAGGGTTTATCTCATTTGAAAAACTTGTACCTTAATAGTTAATTATATTTTGATGCATTTTTTCAATCATAGCCCACTGTTGCAGTGTTTCCCTGTGTTCAGCTGTCTTATACAGAATTTGTTGTGTTCCTCATTCTCAACTATAGAAATAATAAACCCAGAGCTACCAGTGCTCACACACTTTTGGAGCTGCTGAAGATTGTGGCTAGTATCTCCTAAGAGGTATCAACAAAGGGGAATTCAGGACCTCATACTTTCTAGGCAGGCATTCTACCACTTAAGCCGTTCTGTAAGATGTTTTCTGCAAGGATGTGGGGGAAAAAGAACACTACTACACTGCTGGTGGGAATGTAAACTGTTACAACCACTGTGGAAGGCAGTTTGGAGATTTGGCAAAAAAATACTAAATATATAACTACCCTATGATCCAGCACTACAACTCTAATAAGATGTTTATCCAAAAGGTTACAGACAGGATATAATAAAACCACTTGCATACACATGATCATTGTTGCACTATTCACAACAGCCAACTTAGGGAAACAGCCAAAATGCCCTACAATGGACAAATGGATCAAGAAAATTATCAGGAAGAATGATATTATGTGATTAGCAGGGAAATGAATAGACTGGGAAAATTATGTTAAGTAAAGTAAGTCAAGCTCAGGTAGACAAAGGATGCATGTTTTCTCTCATATGTAGAAGTTAAACCTAAGTATAAATATACATACAGGGTCATATGCATATATACACAAGCATATTAACTAAAATATGGTATGTGCAGAAGAAGATTCCAGTGGTGTAACTCCCTTGAACAGCTAACTTTCACTTTAACAAAATGAGTCCCAGGAAACTGGAACATATGTTGTCGAGGAAGGGGAAGGTGTCAGACTAACAGAGAGAGGAAGGGTGGGAAAATCCAGTTACAATATTCAGTGTATATATGTGACAATGAACCAGGTTAACTAGGCAATGGTGAGAATGATGAAAAGAGTAATGCTGATCAAGATGCATTGTACTCACAGTCTACATGTTGAACTGAAACTCTTGTTACAACTACTTAAAGATAACTTTAAAAAGACCTTTTTGCAAGTTAGAGTCTTTACATCCAATCTGGCCTGAATTACACAGTCCCTATTTGTACAGCAGTGCTTAGAACTGCACAGACTCATTGGTTGAATGTTTTTTATTGTGTTTTTTGGGTTTTTTTTTAATTTTTGAGTTATGAATCCTTGATCACCTCCCAAATAGGTTTTCAGGTTTCAGCAACCACACTTGATGGACAGAAGAGTTTCTTACTTCAGAGGAACTTAATAAACAACTAAAGAGGCTGGCAAGGTCTGGTCAGAATTTTCTATTTTCTGAGTGTTACTGCCATAAAACACAAAGTGACATGTTATCTCGAATTGCCTATGAAATACAGGTTGATCACTGAGAGAAGTGATTGATTTTGCATAGATCTCTGTCGTTCTATACCAGAATCCTTAGAAAGGGTCTAAATGTATGATGCAAATAGCAAAAGCAAATGTTATACAAGAATTTGATTGTGAGATACAGAGAAGCCACATTTTTGGAGGATGAATCAGGAATTTTTATTGGAAAGCTGGCAACTTTGAGTGGACACATATCTCCAAAACTGCTTGCAGCCTCCAATACACTTAATACTGTTAGGAAACTGAGCCATAGGGTAGTAGTGTAAAGAAAGAGCAGAAAAACATCTCAACAAACCAGATCACCTCTAATGGAGAGTTGAAGAGGGTTGCTATACTGACCTGAGAAGAGTCAGTAAACACAAGACAGCACAACGGCAGCTGAGGTGGTCAGGGCCTAGATAGGGTTATAGTATAGGTCTGGCAGGTCCAGTTGTCCAAGTTCCCGCTCCTGCCTCTAGGAGTTCAGGCACTCCCTGTCACCTGGAGATGGGGGAGGGACTTCACCTCCAAGAGTTTTTGGAAATTCCCTATCCACCACATTGCCAAAATGTGAAACAGTACCCTGTTTCACAAGGAGAAACCTCCTGCATGGGTCGGGTATTTGACACTTATTAAGAATCTACTGGGGCTCCTATGTTCTCTCCCTTCCTCCCTCTCCCCTCTCCCTCTCCCTTTCTTTCTCCCTCTTTCTTTCTCTCTCCCCATGAAAGCACTCATACTTTGCAAGAATGTGCCCCGCCCTTTTGTTTGTCTGCTTACCTGCTTGTTTACTTACTCAGTAAAGCTCTGTCAAGTTTCCTTGCCATCAAAAAGAAAAAAAAAAAAAGAAAGAAACCACTTGGGCAGCGAGGTGGTTCAGGCCACCTGTTTTGCTCTATTCTGGTTATCAGTAGTGACTGTTTGCAGCCTTACTGGGCCTCATCTGCACCAGCTGCACTGTTAGTGTTGGGTAGGAATAAAGCCCAGCAGGAGACATCACAGTGAAGCTCACCACAGGGGTAGCTCACAAGCATTGTTCATAATTATCACCACAATGTTGGCTTCTTCCTGCATCAGCTCAAAATAATGGCTCTTCATGTTTGTTCTCTCTATATTGAAATGACATTGTTTATGATGTATTTGAGTTTAAGTTAATATGTACTTTACATGGTACTTAGTTGTCACCGTTTTTAAAGAAGTGACTTTCTATATTTTAGGTATCGGATTTGGTAATAATTTTGAATTATGACAGAGCAGTAGAAGCCTTTGCGAAGGGTGGAAACCTGACACTGGGAGGAAATTTTACTGTGGCAGTTGGGCCTTTGGGAAGGTGAGCCATATAAAATATTTTGGAAGTGAGAATGAATCAGCCAAATTATGATTTATGTGTCTACAAGAGGATAAGCCATCACACACACAAAAAATCACCCGCATACACAGAAAAACAAACATACTAGCTGGTGAGATGCACTAGAAAAATCTCAAGCAGAACTCACCAGAAGAAACAAGTTTCAGAAATACAAGCCATGGCTTCTATTAAAATTGAACACAGAAAATTTACCTTGAGTTTGACAAATCCAAAACAAGTCAAATTTTACTAATTAAAAAATGACAGCTTTGTTCAAGAGAGAAAAAAAATTTTCTTAAGGTAAATCATGAAAATTTGAAATGACTAAACCTTACTTAAACAATGTTTACAGTACTTTAGTTGTATTTTCCTTTTCTGCTGGTGGAATATTGTTCTTAGATTATTAAGCGAGGTATAAATTAAAGAGTAAAACCATGGAACAGATGTGTAGGTTGCAATTGAGATGTGTTTGCTTGTGTGGAAATTCCAGCTTTCCATCTCCCTCCAGTGTGACCCTCACATGCTGTCATTCCATTCTGCAATGATTCCACATGGGGTGTTCTTGCTGACCCGTCTTCTGTCTAGGCCACATTAAAATGCTAGCATAGCCATCAGAAATTCCCCCCTCAGTAGATGAATGGATCAAGAAAATGTGGTATATATACACAATGGAATTCTATGCCTCCATCAGAAAGACTGGCATTGCCCCATTTGTTAGGAAATGGAAAGACTTGGAAAAAACTATATTAAGTGAAGTAAGCCAGTTCCAAAGAAACATAGGTCCCATGGTTTCCCTTATTTGCAATAACTAGTATATATCTGAGACAAGCAGAAAAGGTCAGATAAGTTGATGTTAGGTGAAATGAACCCCAAGATAAGTATTCAAAGGTTTTTTCTTTCTTGTGATTGTTTCTAACATATTTATAAGATGATTTCTTTGTTGCTTTGTATGTCCCTCCCCCATGGTATAACCCCTGCTTTCACTGTATTTGATGTTGGTATAATTTGTGGAGAGGAAGGGAAAAAACAAATTGTTTAAATAGGGATACAGGTGGACCTATTACAACAATTACTTTGGGGCGGGGGGGGGGGGGGGGGGGGGAGGAGGCAGGGATGGGAAGGGGAAACAATGGAGAGGCAACAATGCTTGATAAGAAATGTACTCATTCCCTTGCCCATGTAATCGTAACCCTCTGTACGGTATTTTCACAATTAAAAAAAAAAATTCCCCCCTGTGAGACATGGAAGCCAAGGCACAATGAGAGATTTCTCGTGGCTAAGTTCAGACTTTTGAAGTGTTCATCTGACTCCTGCTGTCCCTTTCAGGAACCTGGAAGGAAATGTGGCCCTGAGAAGCTCTGCAGCTGTCTTCACATACTGCAAATCAAGGGGACTCTTTGCTGGCATTTCCCTAGAAGGGAGCTGTTTGATTGAAAGGAAAGAAACTAACCGGAAGTAAGGGCAAGTCAAAGTAATTTTAATTGATTCAAAGCATGTATGATGAGAAGATCATACCTTCAAAGTTGATACCGTTTTTATGAGTCTATGGAATACACATATTTTTAAATGCAACAAAATATGCCCCTATGTACACACTTTATATTTTAGAATTTAAGGTAAAAGTATTGTATTCTTATAGAAAGTTCAGAAAAAAGACAAAACATTCTACCTCTTTAAGACTGATTTTACATTTTACTTTTTCTACTTCTCAACATCTTCCTAAGCATGATTTCCCTTGGCTTTGTCAAATATGATTATAATCGTGATACATGCTCAATTGTCTGTGTTTTGTTCATTTAGAATAAGATTCATAAGCATAAGTTATTCACTTATTAATGTAATTTTCTACTAACTGAAGACATCATAAACCTATATTCTGTCAACATTTATAGAGGACCTACTAAGAAAGCTTATATCTCATTATGACAGACTTCTTTCTATTTTCACACTCATCCTTTGTCTTGCCTCTGTGTCAACTAGAAAGCAATTTTTATTTTAAAAAATTTTTTTGAATAGAAGGTTTGGAAGCTCATAGAAGCTGAAGGGAAAAGTTTGACTTGAGGTCTGGATATTTTTCCCCACATTTGCTCTTAGAAATCGTCACTGTGGCTGGGTGCTGGTGGCTCACGCCTGTCATCCTAGCTACTCAGGAGGCTGAGCTCTGAGGATCAGGGTTCAAAGCCAGCCTGGGCAGGAAAGTCTGTGAGACTCTTATCTCCCAATTAATCACCAGAAAACCAGAAGTGGCACTATGGCTCAAGTGATAGAGCACTAGCCTTGAGCTAAAGGGCTGAGGGACAGCGCCCAGACCCAGAGTTCAAGCCCCACAACCGGAAAAAAATTATATATATAAGAAAAGAAAAGAAATTGTCACTGTGTAATGCATGAGGCACAGGGAGGGTGAGCAGCTGAGAAGGACAGTAGGACTCGGGGACCTGGAGACTCAAGGAAGCTGGTAAGGTGGGGGATAGGACCCAGAGGGACAGCCTCTCGTACACCCAGGGTGCAGGAGAGCCTCTACCAGACTCAATGCATTTGTAATGTTACAACTAGAAACCACCAAACTTGGAAACAGGAAGAAGTGATCATCTGATAGACTCAACAGCCATGTTTTCACTTGTGGTTTCCTCAGTTTGAGAATTATAACATGCATAATCTTAGGAATTTCCTATTCTACAAATGGAAAGGCTTGGAAAAAATTATATTAAATGAAGTAAGTCAGGCCCAAATTATCACACCCTTTCCCTAAGACTACTGTGTATGTTCAACTTGTCTGACTTGCTCAGACAAGAAACATAGGTCCCATGGTTTCCCTTATTTGCAATATCTAGTATATGTCTGAGTCAAGCAGAAAAGGTCAGATAAGGTGATGTTAGGGAAATGAACCCTAAGATATATATTCAAATGTCTTTTTTCTTGCATGGGATTGTTTCTAACACATTTATAAGATTATTTCTTTGTTGCTTTGTATGTCCCTCCCCCACAGTATAACCCCTGCTTTCACTGTATTTGAGGTCGGTATAATTTGTGGAGGGGAAGGGGAAAAACAAGACGTTTAAATAGGGATACAGGTGGATCCATTGCAACAATGAGATGTACAAGTCGTTATGTTGAAAATGAACTTTACAACTTTGGGGGGGGCGGGGAGTATTGGATGGGGGGACAGGGGGAGGATGGGAAGGGATGGGAAGGGGAAACAAAGGAGGAGGCTACAATGCTTGATAAGAAATGTACTCATTATCTTGCCCTTGTAATTGTAACACCTCTGTACAGTATTTTCACAATAAAAAAAATAAATTAAATAAATAAAAAGAAATTTCCTATTCTAGCCTTTGGCTATTTCTGCTATAGTTCAACTTAATCCTGGATTAAAAACAACTCCTTGGAAAATTTCATTCAATTTTGATTTAAAAATGGACATTTTAAAGAAATTTCATATATGTGAAAACTAATTTTATAGCAAGTTTAAAAAGTAAAAACCTGTGAAAATGTAGCTGCTTGTATCTATATTTGTGTAATCCCTATGAATGTGGGGGGAATAGGTGTGTTTGTGTGTGTTGTATAGAGCTTAGAGGCAAGTTGAAGAATTGAACATGAGGTTTAAAATGTGGTAGTTTGACATGAGAGTGATCATACATATTTACACATCATGTGTTTCACTCTAGAAAATATCTTTGTATTAATAGACTTGCTCTTTAGTTTAAAGAAATATTCTTTTTTAAAAATATTCTTAAATCTATGTTCTTACTAGATTTTACTGTCAGGACATTCGAGCTTATGACATTTTATTTGGAGATATTCCACGGCCTGCTCAAGCAGAAGATCTTTATGAAATTCTTGATTCCTTTACTGAAAAGTATGAGAGTGAAGGACAACGAATCAACTCCAGGAAAGCAGCCAGGGAGCAGAGGAAGGTGTGGTGGTACCTACTTTCACTGTTTCTTTCTGTGGTCCCAGCAATTTCTTTCCCTGGTATCAGGTTTCTCTGTCAAACTGGGCTTCTTTTGTGACTTACTTACATAATGTCCTGGTTAAAAATGTCCTGGGACTTTGTCATTGTCTCTGGAGAGTTTAAGGACAGTTTCCCTATGAATGAAACCTGGTGATGTTAATGATTAAAACTAATACCAACTGCTGCCACAGTCAGCCCTACCAGGCTTTTGCGTGTCACACCTTGCTCCGCAACACTGTTCAGGTTCTTCTTGGTCCTTGAAATGCTAAATGAAACCAAAACTAAAAGGTGGACGTTGACCTGACCACATTTGGGCTTCCTCTTCCAATTCTATCATGCAGAGCCGAAAAGCCTACACGCGAGCTTTCAGGGTACCTCCTTAGCAGTGTGTGGGATGGAATCTGCTTCACAAACTTGTGAGAAACAGAAAGTGTTCTATGCTCAGTGACTTAAGACCAAGTTTAGAATTGTATTTTTTTATTACTAAACAGAAGGGTTACAGTTACATAGAATTGTATATATCCATCCTTGTTTTCTCCAGGCTAAAGAATTACCTCCAAAACCATCATCCAGACCACAGCAGTCATCTGGAGTAGGCCAGCTGACCTCTGGCTCACAAAGTAAATATTTTTTATGCAATTTAAATAAAAATTAAGTAATTTGTAAGTACTATTGTTAAGCAATCAAGCAATATTGTTAAACTTTCAGAAAGCATAATGAATGGGTATTTAAGAGAAAAGTAAATATTCTGTCTCTTCTAAATCATGAGTCATGTTTTCAGTCCTATAATTTATGAAAACTTCTGTTCTCATTCATAAGATGCTTTCTTTAAGTCTACCTTGAGATTTATCTGTAATTTTTTAATTTATTTCTTCTGAAGAATATTATCCTAGTTATTTAAAAAGGGAACAGTGTCTTCATGCATACTCATAGATGTACATTTCCGAGTATTTATTTTACTATACATTCTGGGAACTCGGGATCATGAGATGATTTTTTTTCTTCTTTTCTTTTCCTTCCTTATTTTCTTTGTTTCTTTTTGTGCTGCTTAAGATTGAACTCAGGGATTCTTTGTGTTTGTAGGCAAGAGTTATAAAACCTGAGCCACATCCCTCAATTCTCCTAATTTTGAGGCAACCTCACTAACCTTTGACCAGGCTGGCCTTGAGTTGGCCATCCTTTTGTGCCTCCCAAGTAGTTGTAATTGAAAGTATACACTGCTTTACAGTTCAAGATATCTTTTAAGTATTTGAAATTTATAAAACACGGTTTTCTTCTTTACCTGTCTTTTTATATCATTCATTTTTATGAATCACTCTTAAAATTCTCTATTTCATGAATAAAAGTTGCCAGTTAATAGAATTATGTCAAAGTAGGAAATCTTTCACGTAAAGGTTATTATCCAAGAGGCATTAATCTGTGACTTTGAGAAACACAAAAATGACTTTAATTTAGATCTTGCCTTAAAAACCTCAGTGTAGAAACTGTAACTATTGCCAGGTGCCGGTGGCTCACACCTGATCAAGGTTTAAAGCCAGCCCGGGCAGGAAAGTCCGTGAGACTCTTATCTCCAATAAACCACTAGAAAACTGGAAGTGGTGCTGTAGCTCAAATGGTAGAGTGCTAGCCTTGAGCTGAAGAGCTCAGGGACAACATCCAGGCCCAGAGTTCAAGCCCCACAACTGAAAAAAAAAAAAAAGAAACTGTAACTATTATTAGTGGGAGAAGCAACAGAATGAATACTAAAGGTCTTCAGAGAGAGATCAGCAAGCTTATTATCCTCTCCTTTATGTCTTATACCTATTTTTTTCCCAGTCTTCATTGTTCAGCAGCTAGACTTCTTATAAATATATTACTTTCTTTCTTCACTTTGAATAAAGTTGAGGAAGAATCTGATTGACTTATCAGAATTTATACAGAGAACATTATATCATAATTTGATCATAATTATTAATATAATTATATAGTAATTAGAAGTCACATACTTAGTGATCATCCAAAGAAACGTCTATCATCATAATAATATAGTATCATTTAAATATTTTTCTGTTGCTTTGGTGATGATTAAAATTTCTGTCTCTATCTCAGGACTATGAAAGAATTTAGTTACAGTATTATAAAATACCTCCTCCCAGCCTTGCCTAGTTTTAATAAGAACCATTCTACTATTGTTATTGTGGTAGCACATGTAGTCCTAGATTCTTGGAAAGTGGAGGCAGGAGGATTTTTTGAGCCCAGAAGTTCAAAGACGGCTTCATAATGAGATTCTGTCTCCAAAAAACAAACAATATTTTATCTCTCTTTGTACTGTATCTATAACAAGGCAAAAGGAACACTGAAATATAATTTTGATGTTCTAGCTATAAGAAATAGCCATTCAGGGCTGGGAAGGTGGCTCAGTGGTAGAGCGCTTGCCTTGCATGCATGAGGCCATGGGTTCGATTCCTCAGCACCACATAAGCACAAAAAAAAAGCCGGGAGTGGCACTGTGGCTCAAGTGGTAGAGTGCTAGCCTTGAGCTGAAGAGCTGAGGGACAGCACCCAGGCCCAGAGTTCAGGCCCCACAACCGGACCCCCAAAAAAAAGAAAAAAAGAAAAGAAAAAAAAGAAATAGCCATTCTATGAGCACAAGCTAATTTTAAGAAGTTTCATCCCATACATCTATTGAGATGTATTTCAAATGAAAACTTAGTTTTATGTTTAGTAAACTTACAAATTAAGCATATATATACATATATATTCAGTGTAATATGTATTGTAGAAAGTATTACATAATAAAATAATATAAATAATATAAAATCTTCGGGTGAATGAAAGACATAGGGTTCAAGATTGAATGTGAGCCTTCTTTATTCTGACTTCTAGAATAGCAATCGCTTTTCTTTAGTGATAATGGGATTTGGATCACTGGAGTTTGTCTTATTAAAGAATAAGATGTGATTCATATCTCAATGAATGCCTTATTCCTGTAATTCTAGCTATTCAGGAGGATGGTATTAGAAGATTGAAGCCAGGCTTGGCAGAAAAGTCCATGAGACCCTATTTCAATAGAAAGAGCAAGATGTGTTACCCCAATTATGGTGGGAAGTATATATCAGAATCTAATGTCTCATGCCAGCCACAAAGTAAGACGTCTCAAAATTAATCAGAGCAAAAGGAGTGAAGGTGCTGCTTAAGCAGTAGAGCACCACCCTCAGGAGCAGTAAGACCTGGATTCAAAATCCAGGAGTGCTGCTGGGTACCAGAGGCTCATACCTATAACCTGAGCTGCTCAGGAGGCTGAGGTCTGAGGATCCAGGTTCAAAGCTAAACCTGGGCAGGAAAATCTTTGAGACTCGTGTCTTCAGTCAGCCAGCGAAAAGCCAGAAGTTGAGCTGTGGCTCACTTGGTAGAACACTAGCCTGTTACACAAAAGTCAGGGACAGCACCTGGCCCTGAGTTCAAGACCCAGGACCAATTAAATAAATAAATAAGTAAATAAACCCATTTGTACTGCCAAAAATAGACGAAAAAGAAAAAAATAGTTTTCAGTCCCCAAGTCCATGACTTCTAAACATTCTTGCTTGTTTAATCCTAAAATAATTTTAGACAATGTGTATTCATGCAGCTATATAGTTTTTAACTGACACCTAAAGATCAGTTAGGCTTGATAGTTTTAAAAAACATATTTGTATAGGAAATATTCCAATTAAGGAATAACATGTGTGTATGTGTGTGAGTGTGCATGTGTGTAAGTACCAAGCATGGACTTAGGGCCTCATGCTCTTGTTTAGCTCCCTTGATCATAGCTGGCACTCTACCACTTGAGCCATGCCTCTAGGAAGGGTTAGGCCTGCTTGTGTATTTTATAAATTTTAATAAGCTTTCCAAATCCTCTCCCTTTCTTCCAGGTAACAGAAATGAATATAAGCTGTATCCTGAGCTTTCTGGATATCACGAGAGAGTTGGTAAATGAAAAATAGTTCATTGAAAGTGATTCATAGCCATCTTACAATCACAGTTTTTCTTGTTTTTACATTTTTATTAGCATTTGTTAGCTATACACGTTTTTATTTTGAATCTTCCAAGTATCTATGTAATTTACTTTGATAAGACACACCCCTCTGCCCTTCCTCATCCCCCTCCTTTTCTTCCCCAACCACTCTCAACAAGTTTCATTGGGGCTGGGAAGGTGGCTCAGTGGTAGAGCGCTTGCCTTGCATGCCTGAGGCCCTGGGTTCGATTCCTCAGCACCACATAAGCAAAAAAGAAAAAAGCCGGAAGTGGCGCTGTGGCTCAAGTGGTAGAGCGCTAGCCTTGAGCTGAAGAGCTGAGGGACAGCACCCAGGCCCAGAGTTCAGGTCCCACGACCAGACCCTCCCAAAAAGATGTTTGAACAAGGAACTCTTGTCTCCCCGTCCTCTCCTGTTGCGGTCCCTCTTCTCAGCCTGTTGACTGTTGGAATATAGAAAGGGTACTGATTTTTTTATGTTGGTTCTGTATCCTGCTATTTTGTAAAAGATGTTTATCAAATCTAGGACTTTTGCTTGGAATATTTAGGTTCTTTTATGTGTAGGATCATAGTCTTCAAATAGGGATACTTTGAATTCTTCCTTTCCCATTTTGATCCCTTTTATTTCTCTTGTTTTATTGCTATTGGTAAGAATCCCAGTAATATAATAACAAGGTATATAGAGAGTGGGTACCTTGGTCTTATTCCTAACTTGGGGAGATATTATTTCCGGTTTTCTCCATTTAGTATGTTGTTCAGTATAGGTTTGTCATAGATAGTCTTCAATGTGTCATGGTACATTTCTCATATTCCTAGATTCCTTATATTGTTTATCATAAAAGACTAAGGCTTTTTGTGTCAGTTGATTCCTGTCTGTGATTCTGTTTCTGTGTTGTTTTACATTTATTAATTCACATATATTGAATCAACTTTACATACCTGGAATTAAGACAGTTTGACTTGGCGCATAGCATGCGTTAAACATAAGCATGATTGTTTGGGTAAGTTGTTGCTTTTTTTGTTGTCTCCATATCTGTGTATAAAATGAGTGAAATACTGACTTTATAGAATTCATTTGGTAGTGTTCTTTCCCTTCATCTCTCATTGAAAAGCTTGGTATTCGTTTCTTTTTAGACATAGAAGTTAGTGGTGAATCTGTCTGGTCCTGGCTGTTCTTTGCTGTAAGACTATTATACTGCTTCAGTCTCATTCCCTTTTTATAGATAGCTTCTTGGTTTAATTTTGGTAGGTCAAGTGCATTTAGAAATATATCTACTTCTTCAAGATTGTCCAGTTTATTTGAATATAATTTCCAAAATATTTCTTCATGATTTCTGAATGTTCTTTTTTATTTGCTGTGATAATCCCCATTTTCATCTTTTGTTTACAAAGTCTTTCCCCTCCTTGTCTAATCAGATTGACTAAAGGTTAATCAATCTTATTTTTCCCAATAGTCAACTTTTTTGTTTCATGGATTCTTTAATTAGATTTTTAAGGCTCTATTTCATTGCTTTTGGCCCTGATTTTTATTCTTTCCATCTGCTAATTTTGAGCTTGACTAATTCTTGCTTTTCTAGAAGCTCAAGGCATATTATTAGACTATATATTTGAGATAACACTTTTCATTTTGATGTAGGAGCTTATAGCTTAATCTTTCCTCTGAGCATTGCCTTTGATATATCCCAAAGGTTCTTCTAGGTTTTATTTTCTTTTCTGTGGAGTCTAAGAACTTTAGGATTTCTCCCCTTTTTTATTTAATGATCCACTCATTATTCAATAATGTGTTATTCTGTCTCTATGTGTTTGAATATTTTCTGTAGTTTCTTTTGTTGTTGAGTTCTAATTTTGTACCATATGGTCTGGTAGAATGCAGATAATTATTTCAGTTTTCTTATAATTGGTAAGACTTGCTTTATGTCCTAAATATAATCTGTTTTGGAGAAAGTTAGGTATGCATTATGCAACAGTTGGATGAAATACCCTATAGATATCTGTCAAGTCCCTTTAGTCTATAGTATCATTTAATTCTGAGGTGTTGCTGGTTCTGCCAGCAGATACCATGTTGGATGAAGGATTGTTCATGCAGTGATATTTTACACTTGTTTTAATAGTTTAATAATTTAATTATACCATGGGCCAAGGAATGAGTTTAACCAACAGAAATGATTAAAACTGAAGGTGTCTTTCCTTTCCTCTGCTTTTATGGGGCTTCAGGGGTCTGCTCATGGCAATTTCAGGAACAGATCCAAAAGGTGCATTCCAAGGGTAGTTCACAAGGTATCAGGAAGCAGAGATAAGTACCTATAGGTACTCATCCTGTGTATACTTTCTGCAGGATTACTGCAGAACATCAATCACTAAGAACCATCCCCACAGACACACACACACACACACACACACGAAATTCACAGATATACCACAAATACTTGCCAAGTACATAAAGTATGGAATAACGTGCAGTTCTGACTTACGTGGATTTGGGAACTACTGCTAAACATTTGCTGTTTTCAAAAGTTTGATGACGTGCAAGCATTACAGAAACTGTGTGTCATGGTTCTGCCATACACTGAGGGAAAATTCTCAACCCTAACCAGCCGCTTTGTCTTATACATGCTTCCATTTCTCCTCTAGAAAGCATGAATAACTTGGATTCTTTTCTTGTTTTAGACAGCTCTAATCGACCAGTAGAAGTGACGGCACTATACTCCTTTGATGGGCAACAGCCTGGGGACTTGAGTTTTCAAGCTGGAGACAGAATAACAGTTATTTCAAAATCTGACTCACATTTTGATTGGTGGGAAGGAACACTTCGAGGTCAAACTGGCATTTTTCCAGCCAACTATGTATCCATGGATTAAATTTTATATAATTTTCTTCTTTGATAGTTAAAAAAAATTATTTCTAAACTAACAGGATTTACCATTCAGCTAAGCATTGTTTAATGTAAGTTTAAAACACTCCTATCCTTCAAACTTCAGTTGTAAAAGTTTTTTCTCTTTATATAAATAGTTAACTTCCATGTCTTTGAATATTTTGTACTAATTTTATACCACATAATATCTCAGAGGTAACACTCAGGTTTTCTGTGGTCACGGTCCTTTGTGTAGATCAGATATCACTAGGCCTGCAATTCAGCCATGTACTTTGTTTAGTGCAGAGGAAGGTATGGATTGCAGAGAGTGATCAATTTCCTGGGACCCTGGTAATGTTTTTACCATTTTGTTTTAACAAGTTTTGGAGGATGAAATTAGATAATGGACAGGGAGACTTGTAGCCCCCAGCTGGACAGAGTAGGGTCACGCTAGAGGTACCTGCTTTTCCCACTGGACTCCTGGAGTTCGTGTTCATCAATGTTTGCAGCACAGTGTTGGACCCAGGGAGGGGTTGTTCTCACAGCACAGAGAGGATTAAATGGTCAATTGTTTTCTTTTGTGCCTGAATTGGCACTTGAACTTGGAGCCTCCCCACTCAGCTTTTGCTTTGAGCTATGCCTCCTCCAGCTTTCTGCTAGTTAATTGGAAATAAGAATCTTGCTGATATTTCTGTCCAGGCTGGCTATCTCAGCCTTCCGACTAGCTAGAATTTTAAGTATGAATCACCAGCACCCAGCATAAAAGCCTATTTTAATTTTACACATGTGCATGGAACTTCTAACTGGTGGTTTTGACTGCAGTTCTCTTGCAGCTAATTGATGGCGCCAAAGGGAACTGCTCCCTTGCAAATGCTGAAGTGTGTGATAGAACTCATTTAGTGGGGAAGACCTCAACAGTGTCTAGAAGTGGAGACCACTACCTCCTGTTTAACTTCATTCTCCATTTTTTTTTTTTTTGGTCAGTCATGGGGCCTGAACTCTGCCTGAGTGCTGTCCCTCAGCTCTTCAGCTCAAGGCTAGCACTCTACCACTTGAACCACAACACCACTTCTGGCTTTTTCTGCTTATAGGGTACTGAGGAATTGAACCCAGGGCCTCATGCATGCAAGCAAGCACTGTCCCAGTAAGCCACCTTCCCAGCCCTCTCCATTCTACTTTGAGGAGTCATAGAAACTTGGTCTTCTCTGCCTCAAGGCAGGCCAAAGAAAGTAGATTTCCCTTTCCCCAAAACAAGCCATAGAGCCTAAACACATTGATTTTTCCCTACTCCTCTATCTTACAGTCTTAGATCTGGTCATAAACAGTTTGACCTGCTTTTTGTGATAAATTGTAACACCTGCTCCAGGGGGTCCTGCCCATGTCTGGGAGGAAAGATGGCTATACCGTGAGATCAAAATATGCTGTACAGACACAATTCTGCACAACCTTTCTTCAACCTTACCATGACACTCAAAATGATGGTCCAATAACTGTACCTTACATTTCTCTTGTTAACTTGTCCTTTGGAATAGCAATGTCAGCTGTGGCCCTGTACATTGAGCAGGAAGAAGGACATGTTCTCTTTTCTCCTTCTACAGTTGGCAAGATTCAGCCTTCTTCATAAATGACACCATAAATACCTTCCCTGTACAGGAGTATGCACACAGTGATTAAAACTGTAAGCCCAAGGGCTGGGAATGTAGCAAAGTGGTAAAGTGCTGGCTTAGCATGCATGAAGCCCTGAGTTCAATTCCTCAGTACCACATAAACAGATAATGCCAGGAATGGTGCTGTTGCTCAAGTGGTAGAGTGCTAACCTTGAACAAAAGAAGCTCAAAGACAATGCCTAGGCACTGGGCAAGCTCAAAAAAAAAAAAATTATAAGCCCAGGACCAGCTTTTGTGATTGACCTTGAACAGTTTACCCAGCTTTGGCTTAACCAGTTTTCTTAAGTGACCAGTAGACCTAACTGGTAGATAAGATATAATGCAAGGAAAGTTCACTTTTTCATGCTGCTAGGGTTTGAACTCAGGGCCTCAAGCTTACTAGGCTGGTGTTGTACCACTTGAGTCACATCTTTGGCCCAGCTTTTGTCTGGTTATTTTGGAGATGCAATCTAGTGAATTTTTCTGTCTGAGCTTGCCTCAAATCACAGCCTCCTAAGAAGCTAGGATACCAAGTGTGAGACTCCAGCCCAAGGCAAACAAGCACTTTCATTCTCCTCCACAGTAACCTCCCCATGTCCTGGTGCAGAGATGACTCAGTGTACATCATGATGCTCGGGACGCCTCTAGGAAGCCAGACTCTGTGAGGCCTACATAATTCTAGAGCCCGTTCTCTGGCCTCTTTATCAGCAGAATAGAGGAGGTATCAAACCCTGCAAGGTCAAAGGCTTTCAGTCCATCTGCTTTAACTTGCAATACCTGCCCAAGAGGCTCCAGAGATCTCACCAGACGTGGAGGGTGGCTGTTGAATCTGGAGGAAGGTGGATGTTCACTGTTGTGGAATTCCCTTTCATAAGTCATATGGAGGCACTGCCAGGGCCCAACTCTTTTTAGTGTACCTATTTTATTTATGGAAAACTGAATGAGGCTATCTTAATAGGTAGGCAGAACATGAGCACAGTAGCCTTAGACATTTTTATACTATGTAGAATGCTATAGGGAAAATAAAACTGGTGGTGGATGGGAACAAGGGTGTGGCTGCACTGTAGATGACAGGATGACCCTTCCAAAGTGAGACCCAGACTGAGAACTGATCGGGAAAGTGCTGGTCTGCGGTGTGGCCACTATAGTTAGTATCAATGTGTCTTAATCCTGCAAATCACCGAATTCTAAGTGTTTTCACCACACACAGACACACACAAATAATATGTGAAGTAATATACATAATAATCATAGTTAACCAGTCTACAGTATAAACTTAATCCAGACCAGCTTGTATATGACAAAACATACAATTTTACTTAACAATTAAAATAATTGTTTTAAAATGAAAAAGCAACCTTGAGTTGGCACACATGAAAATCTTCTAATCAGAAGAAACAGTGATCACCAAAACCTCAAGAGAAAAGGCAGAAAGGAGGCTTTTGTCCACCAGAAGCAGAGCCCTACCACTGGAGGGTTGTGTCCAGACCTGTCTGCATTTATCTTTTATTTAAAAAAATGTTTCATTCATCTGTTTTATATTAGCATCAATTAGTTGTACAATGGAGTTTCATTTTGACATATGCATACAGTGTACTCTGATCATTCGCCCTCCAACACTGTCCCATATCTCATCTTACACACACCTTCACACACACCTTTTTTTGTGCCAGTCCTGGGGCTTGAACTGTGTACTATTCTGGGCTTTTTTGCTCAAGGATAGTGCCCTACCACTTGAGTCACAGCTCCACTTCTGGTTTTTTGATGGTTTATTGAAGGTAAGAGTCTCATGGACTTCCCTGTCTGGGCTGGCTTCAAACTGTGAGGCTCAGATTTCAGCAGCCTGAGTAGCAGTATTACAGGTGTGAGCCACCAGCACTTGGCTTCCTCCCCTTAAGCCAGTCCCAACATGCTTTACAAGAAGGATGCAAAGTGATCCAATACAGTCTTCAAGAGGGGTGCTCCAATAGTTCCATCAAAGAAAAAACCTGTGGAGGATTATGGAGAATAAAGGGCTGTGGACATGATCTGAGCAAATGGGTTATGCAGTTTATGGAAGGCTTGTGGGACAGATACAGACTCCAGCTAGGGTGTCTGTGGACAGGAAGACTCAAGAAGCAAACAAGGATTGGAACTGCACAGCAGCAATACAGACAGGAGACATTTGGAAAGAGTAAAAAGGACTGGAGGAAGACTAATTTTTAGCCACACCAATGTTAGGTGACCACTAGACTTCTGAGCAGACTGTGAGTAGGATCTGAAGGTGGAGCTGGGAATACCTGATGCGAAGTTCAACCTTCCAGATGTGAAAAGAGACGTGGAGAGAGTTTTTGTGGGCCATACCTGTGCATAGTTCCTAATAGAAACAGAGTAGCCAGGGTAGTTTATGTTTCAACAGTAACAACCCAGTAGAGAAGACATTTCAAGCTTGGGAAAATGGTGTTCTAAGCAGAGTGGACAGTCTAATGGAAGAAATGAAGTTTGTTGTCCTTTAGCAGTTCCTTAAACTATGAGGGATGCCAGGCTGTCTGAACTGGCAGGCACTTGGGGCAGGCACTTCCAGAGCATGTGAGACAAGTCAGGTCAGCCTCACATTTCTGTGCGCACATTCCCAGCAAGGCATGAATAAACCCTTAGGCTAATCGCCTAAGGATCCACAGGTGAAACTGTGCAGCACTTCCAGCTACTAAATCTCAGGAACGTCTGATGTAGTGCTCAGAACTTGTAAAACATGTAAGAACTCTGAAAGGTTTAAAATCCTTTAGGAGCTGTGTAGATTATGCACTTCAGTGCCAAATGCATTCATTACTCATCTGTATATAAAAATCAATTTTAAAATAACTTAGGCCATTTTGGAGAACTGTTGGCTTTAGACTGTGCAGTCTGAATATAAACCTGTTTCTGCCAAGAATTGACCAATTCAGTCCAGATCCACTTTTCTCAGTTGGGGACCAGTGGCACTGGGAGCTGCCCAAGCATTGTGAAGATGAGTTGAGTGGGCTAGATTGTCCTGACAGCAAGGAAAGCACACTGAAGCTCAGCTGTTAAATTATGAAGGTTAATTAATAATTGCTAAAAAGTCTCATACAAACGCACATCAGATGATTTCACTTTACTTTAAAATGCAAATTAGGCAGGAACAAAAAAATCCTAGCCTCTAACTTGAGATGGAGTCTGTACCATGTGTAGGATAAATCAGTTGAGTACCTGATTGTTAATAAGAAAAGTTATTTTAAAATAGAAATCTGTTTGACAAACCATCGATCAAACCTCGAGCCAATTCTGTACCGTGGTCCCGTGAGAGGAAGGCAGGTAGAGTTGTCGCCAGTGGGCTGATGTTGCCCACAGCTTTCTTCTGAGGAAGATGTGGGGAAGGTCGGGCTGGAAAGGCTGCACTGCCTGTAGACACGTTACACTGTAGGCACAGCTCTGCCAGTGAATGCACATAGACTAACAGAGCTGTGGGCCTTCAGGTAGAACCTGCTGTTCCTGATGGGAACAGTGGCACCTTGTTTTTTGAGTCAGC